ATATAATATTGTAATTTTCAGCCGAGAATCTCTAACACAGAATGAAGTATGAATGAGAACCGCTAGCCGTTGATCAATTCCTTTTTGGCAAGCGGCCGTATTCTACTTCCACCCAAATTCCGCAACAACCTATTGAATGCGGTACGGTAAATACAGCAACTTCCGAGAACCAGCTGGTGCATAAGCCCGTGATTTCCATTCTCCCAGAAGAGAATGGTACAAAAATATCGACCATAGTAGAGAGAACGCCTGGTAGCCTTGCGGAAACCGTACAGGAACTTGACCCTAGAACGGCTGACACGCCCAACCGTCCGCAGCGATCTACACTATACAGTTCTTCGCTCTATGATTTCCAAGTTCCCTAACCCTAATTTCCTTAAGTAACCGGGGCACGTCCTATGGTTGAGGAAACCTCCCCAGAACTTCCGCCCCTGACACGACTCCTCTAATATCTGATCCCTCCCTTTACCTAGCAGTTACTTCTGCTACCCTCAGTATACGTTTGGTCTGCCTTATGTCGCAACAAGTATCTCTCCCTTGCTGCTTAACCAACCATAATAACAATCATAAATTTAAAAGTAACTAAAAGGGTAGAAATAAGCAAATAGATAAAAACATGCTCTTCATTGACCTCGACAAACAAATAAATAAGCAGCACCTTATGCTTCCTTGGTACTTCGTACTGTGCTTTGTTTTCGTAGTAGTCGCACACGTCGGAGGCTTTCATGAAGGCTTTTTCTCCAGTTCCGAAAAATAGAACAGGAATACGGGATAGAGGAGTGTCTTTGTCTTTTTCCAGAACCTTAAAAACAACTCATGCAAAAAACAAAAAAATTGTGAACACATAGAGACAAAACAGCCTTAAAATTGAGTTCAAAGACTCTAGTTAATAGTTAAATGGAGAAGAACAGCAGAAAACTCACTTTTGCGGGCCACGGCGGAAATCCCTTCATCTTCGCCCAGACAAGATCACCCGGATTGGGCAATGTTGAGGAGCTTGAAGACTGCATATCCATCTTCGTGTATTGATAATATAAAAACAATGTAACTGAACAATGTGAATGTACAGCGTTGAGAGAAGACAGATCGATAATCGCATTCAAAGTTGGTTGGAACTGAGCCAGCAATGCGGCGCGGCTTTAGTGCGCTGGAAAACAAGGCAGTAAACTTTGTTATCTGCATGGTCGTCGGTTTAAACCTACCGCGAGTTTCTTCTGATGATGTCATCAGCCTCGGAATACTTGTTTTTGTTAGTTTCTGGCGTTTCGTTCTATTTCGCTCGAGAGTCTGTAGCATTGTAGACATTTTTAGTTTCTGAATGTATGTTTTCAGGTCAAAATAGGAAAGAAGTAGCATAGATTAGAGCAGATTCCAAACCACCATGGAATCTCGAGACGACCTCGAGAATCCTGGTGATGCGGCACTTGTATCTGACAATTTTTCACCATCGGAATGTAAGTAGCGTTTTATACCTTTGCTTAGTTACGAATGAAAAATTATTGCCTCTCAAGAAAAAAAAGAGCTTATGTGTTAGTTAAGAGGTCATGGCAGTACCAGGAACTAGGCGCTAGTGTAATATAGCGGGGAACTTTCTGACCGTTCCGTAGCTTTACAGAAGTTTACAAGACTTGATTGCCTAGCACGTTGACAGGAAAACATTACCCATCCTGTTTTGCTAGCAGTAAGGACTTCTCAGTGCTTTGAAAAGACATTGAATCTAGCCAGAATCTAGTCACGAAACTTTCAATAAGCGTTGGACCGCCCAATGTGGAGCACTGGGGAGTCATTCCTCTGGGGGATGATCTCTCTAAGTCATAGAGAAAAGGTAATCGAGGACATAGAAAACATGGGAACGACAAGAGAACTGTTGATATTGTGAACTTTTTCAGTTATTCGCGATCGATTGAAAGGTGTTCGAACTGGGGATGAGACCAAAAAGCTGCAAGCATTGCGAACTGAAATGAATGCAATCAATCATGCATCTCAGGAGATGCTCAAGAATAATGTCTTCCAAAACTACCAACAGTTCATCGATGCTTCCAAGGAGATTTCACGTAAGTGGAAAGTCATCTATGACCTTGAGTACGTATCAGTTACTTCTGTATGAAAATACTGCTAGTATGTTTTCACGATGTAAAATCCACTTCATAAAATTTGCATGATAACTTGATTTTGGATTTGGGCCGCGTGACTTGCACGGGGACTACGTGTCCGCGGGAGTTCGTGGAGAAGTCTACCCGAAAGAGCACAGGCGCAGCCTCAACGGCACGGCAAGCGGTGGCGTGCCAGGACTCGGCGGCAGCGTGTCCCAATAGCTTTCTTCAGTCGCTTTAGTTCTTCGTTTTGCTTATCCATAACGTCCTATTGACTGCTTTCAACGGGCTTGGGACAAACGAACCGCTGTATGATTCAGAAATATCGAAACCTTAGTGTGGCTAGATGACCTGGCTGGGAGACCAGGCTGCACTCTGCTTCATCTGCTGTATACCCTTCTAGTCAAAAAGGCTTGAGGTTCAGTGCACAGACGCCAGAGCCGCTAACACCTCAGCTCTCGCGGAGCAGACAGGCTAAGCCTTGGTCAGCAGAAGGGGCGCAGGGGCCCTGCCACATGACCTCTCCCCTCAACCGTGTTAGCATCCTGCTGTCATTAACGATCGGGAAAACGGGAAGGTATTAAGAGACAGTATTTGTAAGATGCGTGGCTTTGAGGCAGGGCACTCTTGTTTACATATTGAAAGTACTGTTTCTACATGACTAATCGCTAGGTTATAGGGCCTTTAAAATGTCCTCGTAATGATCTGTTTTGCCACAATCTGGCGTGTCCTGGTTTGCTATAATGTCTTGTGTGTCGTTGCCTAAACTGTATGCGACATATGGTAGACCCAGGATCGCTAACGATGTTGAGGGACCACACTCACTTACAACCGCCTACTCCTCCTTCCCCCCCACCTGTTCAAAACTAGCCTCATTGAAGACAGTAACTTTCCCTGGGGGACTAGCAGCTGAGCTGTGGTCCATCGTGCGCTTGTGCAGGACTTTAAGCCCTTCCTGGGGCAAGGGTACGGGAGTTCGCAAGTCCAGAAACACCACCCTCTCCCTACTGGCACTCGCGTCATACACTTTCTATTTAGATCTTGAAGCAAGAAATCTATCAGCTTTCGTCTCTTCTGCTTGATCAGAAGCAACTTAATCGAAAATCTTATGCAGATGACAGGCAGGTTTCAACATTTCTATATGGTTTCAGTTCAGTCTGATGAAAAAGTGCCTTTAAAGGAGACGATAAAACATCGATACAAACAGCTTCCAGTCACACTGCATCTATTACTTCTATCACTCCTATACAGGTTCTCATGCAAAAGATGGATGGAATCGCGGTTGGTTCACGTTTTTTTCATCCTTAGTGTTCCTTTTTTTGATTGGAATTTGGACGTTGAACATGGCTGAACAGGGCGCTATTCCCACAGAGTGGGCATTTACAGTTGTTGCTAGAATAGGCAGGGAAACGATTTCAGGCTTAGCTAGAGGTTGGAGGGAACCCGAGATGGGCAACTCAATTTTTGTGCTTTTTTCGTCGCGGTTTCAAATGCGACGAAAAAAAGCACAAAAATGTGCTCTGAAGTGATTCAGAAATACACCAACTACTCATTCCAGTGGTCATGTTCAGGGTGTAATGCTTCTGATGTTTTATATTTGTAAACGAACGCATTTTCAGAGCATTCTGAACAACATGCGTAGTACCGACAAAGTGCTACTCTACGGCGAGATGATGCTGCTAGACCCTGAAACAAAGGAGGACATTCATAGAGCAATGCTTGTGCTACTTACTGACCGACTGTTGATAGGAAATATTACTCCTTCGGGAAAATATAGGTAATTTTTCGCTGTTTCAGTTGCCAGCAGCTTCACAAAGTCTAGTTCCATTAGCAAGGATAGATCACCCACACCGTTTATTTGGAGCTTTTTTCGTTAGTGCGCTCGTTCAGCTAGTTTCTTGTTTTTCTTCTCGTCCTTATCCCTGCAACATTCATGCGTGTTTCTCACTTTTCTAGGTAGTTTGTCTTCAGTACTTTACATTCCGGGCTATAGCCGCTTCCAGAGAGCCATGTGCGGGGGTCTAGAGGTCAGATCCTGGCACCGCTCGCGCCAACACGTCCAAGCCAACGAAGCCTTATGGCGATGGTAAATTGGTACCAGGTTCGTCTGGTGGGAGGCTGACTTCTGCATCGTCTGGATCCACGCAAGTCATTGTATAGGCCACATCGCATTTATCAAGTCACTACGATTCTGAATCGAAGTGGAGTGCAGAATGTCCCTCAGAAAGGGATCGATCAGTGGCGGAAGCTTTATCTTTTTATCATTCAACGAGCGATCACTTCAGGGGAAAAGAACTGTAGAATGGATGAAACTGGTTTTCTTGGGCAATTTTGGTATGATTCATTCCATATGATGGCTGCGATATGATCCATTGTACATTGAAACGAAACTAATAATTTTCAGTTTGGAATCAACATTTTCGCTGAGCAACCTGGCCGTTGTCAATGTAAAAGATCGAGAGAGTGGACCTGCCAAAGCTGATCAGTTGTTGAAGCTGCTTGTGTTTCCCGAACAAAGGTATTACAAGATTATTTCTGAATCAACTACATTTTTTTGAAAGAAGTCTATAAATCAATATTGCGGTTTTGCAGTACTTCGAGCAAGACATACAGGTGTCAGGTCCATTTTCGAGAAGCGCCCCTCCGCGTAGTGAAAGTAGTACTGTGCCACCTCCTGTCAGTACTTTGTTCGACTACAATCTGATCCGATGCGTTTGGAATCGGTCGCAATTATTCATTGTTTCCTATCCGAAAATGCCCATCGTTCACTTCCTAACACTTTTTTGAGAATTTCCCTTTTCGGGTGCTGTTCGGCTCAAGGGAGAGACACTTTGCACTTTTGTTAGTTCCTTTGGCTAGTTCCTGTTTTATTACCCGCCAGTACACTATTGTCACTTGTAAACAAAGCTCATGCTACTGCCTAACTTCTTAGAAGTTTTCAGAGCTATTAAGGCAACATCGGCAATGAAACACCAAAATGCCCCCTCTGAGCCGAGTTGGCCTTTTTTCAGATTCGGCATTTAGGAAACACTCAGTTGATTGATTTGTTGCGAGACTAATGCTCCCTCATGCTGGGAAGTCCACATATTCTCTTGCAGATACTATCGCTGTGATAGTGCTCGCGCTAAGAAGATGTGGCTTGATGAACTCGAAAGAGCGAAACGTGACATCCTCCACGAAGGCATTTTGGTTCGGCAATCTACAATTCGAGGCAAAAGAATATCTGTTCAGGTACTTTTCCTGCTGGTTTTTACGATTTGTTTTCCAGAAAAGGAATACACTGGGGAAGAAAGTCCAATTTCAGGAACGTGCCAAGCGTGCTGAAGATTTTCCCTCTACAGCAAATTCTCTCCCAGAAACTGAAGAGGGAGAAGTTAGTGAGTTTTTCTCTCTATAAGATCTGTGTGTAAGTGTGTTTGGAATGCGTTGCTATTTGGTTTTGTGATTCAGATCAGGAGGAGATAGCATGGCTTCAAGAGTTACCTGCAGAGTTGGACGACTGCATAGCACATAGGTACGATCCAAACACATGGAGTAAAGCTCTCGGTCATGTTTATACTTCGCGAGGGAGCGATAACATCACGTGACGGCTGCCGATCGCGCTTTACCGCTGATCGTTCCAACCGCTGCAACTGCATTTTCATTTATAGTCAGTATAAGGCTACATTCTACCGTTGCAGTTGTTCAGCGATTAGCAGGGGGTGCGATTCGATCACAATTTCGTGATTCCCGAATCGAGCGACTGAATCGCTCTAGTCGCGATGTATGAATGCGATTTCGTCTGAGTAGTTCAACCCTTAACCAAACTCATGAGTCTATTGTGGTTTCATCGAACCTTTACAGCCTCATCAGGCCCTTCGGCAGAAAGAATCACATTTGTTACATTGTTATGAACTTGTAAATTGTTCAGAGATCTTGACCAAGCCGTTGAACTCATCCATGAGTGGAAGCAGTGCTCTACGAAGGATCCTAATATTGATGCTCAATTGAAAGTTAGGGAAAATCAGGTGAATCATCCAAGACATTTTCTCTTCGTCACCTTTTCTGCCAGCCTTACTTGTTTTTTCCTTTGTGAATATCATTTTCCAAATGAATCTGTTAGATTGTTCAACTGCTGAGCGATGATGTCCGCCGTCCAGGTGCTGTACATGGTGGTCCTCGTGCAATGAAGAAGGCACGGACGCTCTTGTCACAGTTGGGGCGAGGTATATCTCCAGTTTCTCCACTTCAAACCGCTCCATGGCAAGGGTTGGTGTTTAGGAACGTACGCAATGGACCTATATCTTCGTCGGCGCAGTGCGTTGCAAAGAGCTGCCGTCAAAGACATTGCAGTGTCGGAAGAACCCTTGTCTTATGTCCGTCAGCTCTGTACATTATTTGCTGGAGCGGTCACTGATGTAGCCAGCGAATTCCATTCACAGCCGCAATATTATTGTCAGGTATGTTTTACGTTGCTTTGCGAGTCGTCCTCAAAATCTGTTAGTTGCTTAATCCAGGGATCTTCCCTGATCTGACTGAGTTTATTTCGACCAGTTTCCCTTGTTCCTTGGCGTTTTGAGGGTCGTTAGAGAGCAACTGATTTGAAAGAATGTGTGTTTAGGTGCTGCAGTGGTGTTCAGGAGAACTGAGCGTCTTGCTTTCTCTAGTGCGACGACATGTCATAGGTGAGTTGATTGCTTACTAGTCTTTCTATGTTTGTCGGATGTGATATTTCCGAGAGTTTTGTGGTTATTCTTAGAGGCACGCTCAGCGCTCGAAAGGGTCAATTGTGCGGCTATAGTACCAATGACAGACAGAATGGCGTGTACCACTACATTCAACAAAAAAGCAGAGCAATCGCGCCCATATGGAACCTCATGCAGAACAGCACTCGTACGTGCCAAAAAAAAGAGGGCCCAGACGACCTCTTACCTGTTGGTATCAGCTCGTTCTGCCTCATAATCTCACTCTCACTAATTGGCGAAAGCTAGCAGCGGAGCAACCGCACTTTGAGGGTTTCTCTAGAAATGAAAGTCGGGCGTTGCCGTGGACATTGGGTGGAGCCGTGCGCAAGCTCGCGCTTTCTCACCTATTTTTGAGCTGCAATCACTGTACATCTTTCATGCTCGCAGGCAGACCACCATATTCAAAGAAGGCATCTGAACATCAAATGAACGCAGAGAGTGCCTTTAAGACCCTCCTCTGTCAGATTTTCGTAAGAATTCGTCCCCGAGTTAGATCTGGATGAAGATTGCTCCGGGTAAGATTTTATCTTCTAAACACGACTCTGTTCGGCACGAAATACTTGACACCCGTGCTACTGGCGTAGTGCCAAGGACTGCTTGTAGCGTCAGCATCTTGTAGCTCAAGTGCCAAGTTTTTTTTTGCGTCAAATGGCTGGAAAATTTCGTGTTTAGAGGGTCATACTAGCCGTAGTGAAGAATTTCTGGCCGAATGCTTCTTATAAACAAATCTTAAGGGAAAGAGAGCCCAAGTATGAAAACTATTCAGTAAGGGGTGAAAGGTGCCTCTCTTTGCTGTACAAGTTGTGATTTTCTATTGTCAGAGGTCGCGCCAGCAATGACAGTTCTTGCATTTACATGGGGAATCTTGATGAAAACAATGGACGAGTTAACTTCTATGGGTGTGCAGTTGACATTCGAGGTAGGGCAGTTCTGATTCCTGTCATTGTACGTAAGTTTCTCAACACGTGCAATTTTTAATCCCTAAGGTAGATAATTGTCTGTTGTTGCCAGACTGTGAGCAGATAACGCTATGTCTATGGGTTATTTTTGCAGGGTTTATCCTATGGGTTAGATTTGCAGGTTCATCGCCTTTTGTCTCCTGCTTTGGAAGCTGCTATTGAAACCAATTTCAACAACATCATGCAGGGCGTTAGATTGCGAATGTCTGTAAGTTGAGGGATCTATATCGGATTTCAAAAGTTTTGTCGGCTATTTCGGCGTGCTTGGAGCATTTTGCTCATTCCCATCAATCACTGCCGATTCCTTCGATGAGGACAAGGAAATCCCTGTGTATCCGTGCACTAGCAGGAGCTTTGTTTACACTTAAAGACAGCTCCCGCGATAAAGTATTGCTGATCAATTATGAAACAGTAGCTGATAAGTAATTCCTCAATGAAGGAAAAAAGAAACAAGAGCCCTCAAGAACACCATAAACAAAATCGCGACCCTGACAGTCACACCTCCCTGCGGTCTCTGTGCAAGCCCTGGCTCACAAATCACTTTGTCACATCTCCCAGTAGTGGATATCATCGAATGCGAAGAAAAGAAAACAAAAAACAACAGAAACATAGAGGAAAAACTCTTGAAAAGAAAAGGAAACATTAAAAGCCGGCGTCCGAACTTAGGGTTACGGTAGCGAGCATGTTTTAGTGTAGTGAAGTGCGTCGAGCTTTTGCACCACAGAAATTGCATCATTCGTGATTTTTACGCGTTTTACCTTACGAGATGGGTTGCTGTTGACTGTACGTGCTCCCAATGAATAAAATGTGATGAAGGAGAGCAGAATTACGAGCACGAGCGCGGTCAGCAAAAATACATGCAGTTCCGATTAACACGTTGGCGACATTGCGTCCCACTGCTGGGACGCACCTTTTTTGCCGCGTGGGACATTGCGTCCCACTGCTGGGATGCGGCATGGGTAAAAAACCAATTTGAAGACGTTTCGAATTTTCAACAGCTACATGTTGTCCATGAAGGCATTGTAGAATGTATACAGTAGCTGTAAACCGTGCAGTTGTGTCATTGAGAGTATTTTACCGAGGAGACAAACGAAAGTGATTTCCTAGGAAAAAAAAGATAATTCTTGGATATATAGAACTGAAGCTCCACATGCAGATAGCTAATGTGATAAGGTAACTTTCAACAATAGCAGATCTGAATCGAATCCAATTTACCACCTCTGGCGCGAAAATATTCCTTTTTTGCGACCTTGTTCCCACGCTCCACGTGAATGAGGCGGGAGTATTCCATGAAATTTCAGGGTTTATCTTGAAAGTAAACAAGAATAGCGAAGCCTTAGCTACTGCAATGAATTCTGACCATTCTTCAATTTTTTTGGCGTATAAACGCCCTAGCATTTATGCGCATTCTTCGAAAATAGGGAAAAACTGCTTTGTCCCACGCGGCAGACACGCGAAAAGGCGCCTTGTCGCCAATGTGTTAATGACTGCCGTCCCAACAAGGAACAACTGAGCGGCTCTCCGTCAGAGGGCAGCTAGCTAGTGAGGCGGTCCAACTGAGCAGGCGTTAGAACTAGAACTTTGAGCGGTTCTAGCTCGCTCCTCGCTCGCTGAGGAGTCGCGAGAGTGAGATAGTATCTAGCTTGGGGGCTGAACTACCTGCCCAAGGAAGGACGACCATGTACTACTTGAGCGCGGGGGCTGTCTTTAACACTCCGGTTTCATCAAGGTGAGACGTGCGTATCGACA